AACATTGGTACACCTCTTTCTATGAGGAAGAAGCCTTTTCCCAAAAGAGCTCTTTCAGAAAAAGGTGTGTGTGGATGGGAAAGAAGGAGTTCTTTTGAAAGAAGAGGAAAGAGGAAAAAGCACAGGTGCCCTGATGGTCACTCCATCCATAATAATCACAGCTTAAATGTGAGATAGCGTTCATTCAGTGTGGACGCTATCTTTCCAAAAAGCAGACTGCTTTTTTGATGGGCTTTGGCAATGTAGACCGTCTCTTTCAGAAGAAGTTTTTTTGGAAGATCTCTTCCGGAAAAGCTTCTTCCGAAAGAAGCCTATAGTCTAGACATAGCCTCAGTCAGTGGATTCCATCATGTTGTCTTCTGCTTTGGTCATCTAACTCCATTGTTTATCTTGGTGGTGAGGCTATGGTGTATTAGTGATGTATACTTTGCAACCACTTATTTAAAAAATACTATTATACTTTTTCTTCCATGCCCTTCCTCCTCTTGTTTCCCAAGAAGACTATAAATGTGGATGCCTTCTTTCATGACAAAAATATTATTTGTCTGTGTTGCTCATTATTTGTGTGACCTGTCTCACTTTATGTAAATGAAGATCTGTCCAGAACTGTTATTCAGATCCTTTTGATAGAAAGATATTTCCTACTAGATTGTTGTTTAGAACTCCAAAATAGTTAATACTACACACTTAGTACTAACCCTAAAATACAAATTAACCTAAAATAATGGCATTTTGTAATAGATGTGGTACAGACTGCTAGACTAAAAGAACATTATTTATAGCTCCAAAAATCTCTTTTTGAATGACAGGTTATAATGAAAAGAATTAAATGTATTTTCTAACATATATAAAGAAATCCTCACAGTTGGATCTGAATGTTCCATATATATGGGGTTTCCATGTATAAAACCTTTAGATAACCTATTTTATATGAGCACACTGCTCATGTTGAGCAAATTCAATGTACAATGTGGTCACTGGTCAAAATAAACAGATCTTACATCTCATAATTAAAACTTCAGTATCTTCCATGAGAGATCTTTTGTATTCATTCACAGCAATACCCTGCAGCACTGGGGAGATATTCAAAATATGGAAGTTATTTTAAGTATTACAAAAGATGTGAACGTTTTTATCAATCCTCCGTTAATATCTACAGTGCTTATATAAGGAAATGGACAAGACAATTTACTTTTTAAAACATCACTGGGTGTGTTCTGTTCTGATAAAAGTAATAATCAGATACATTTCTCTTGGGTTAACCATCTGGCTTTATGCTATTTTACCACCTTGGAGACATAACTTCCTAATGACCCCTAGCAAAAATGTCAAGGATTGGCATAAATCTTGCATGACCAAACATTTTTAAACCCAGTGCAGTGCGGAATGGTAAACATTTAACCAGAGGAAAACTCTCATTCTCTTTTCTCTTCATATACATTAAACCATGTATTTATTTTAACAAGAGGGACTGCATTCCAACACCTGGCACCTCACACATCTTGGCTTTTCTCCTTCTCAACTGGAAACCTTGAGGATGAGGAGGAAACTAACTCGGGCTAGTTACTAAGTTAAATAAGATCTCTATGATCTGTAAGACCTGAACTAGTGTAAAGGGAACACAGAGAGAGGACCCCGGGTCTTCTTTGTCTGTTTCAGGCATGGGAAGTGACCGTCTCCCGAGTTTGCCTCAGAGAGCTAAACTGGTCTGGAGCAGGGAGCTGCCTGTTTACCCAGGAGGGCTCTGCTGATAGCACGTTACTTTAGTTTACTTTGCTTTGCTTGAGTTTATTGTAAAGGGGTAAAGTTTTCGGATTCATCACGTGACCCTGACAGGTCCTGCCTATTGAGAGCCAGACCACCCACATGGAGGACGATGGAGCTGCTTAATAGAAACAGGCATGTAATTGTGAGCCTTTCCAGCACTCTGCAGAATGCCTGCAACCTAGGAGGATTATTTTTTTACACTTTCAGTTCCTTTTGGAGGAAAAAAAAGGAACAAGGAAGCGAAAAGAAAGAAGGGGGGAAAAACTGATGTAACCTCAAAGTCTGCCTCTGCTCTGAATGAAATTTAAAAAACCCACCAGATCACCAATTCCCACCGAGGTGCTCCACATGAGAAGGGGGAAGATGCTGGTAAGCAAAAGCTGATCTTTCCAGTTTAAACCAAAAAAAAAATAGCAATAACGTGTCTCCTTCTCCGGAGTAAGCTCGTGGCAGATGGCAAAAATCTGACGGAGATGGGGTCTGCTTCGCTGGGGAAGCAGAAAGAGGACCGGGGGTCGAGGAGGGAGCAACCTGGCTTGTGTAAAAAGCAGGAAGGGAGCAGAGGAGTCTGTATGGCTGACTATTACACTGCTCAAGATAGGAGGGTCCCTCGAATAGTTCCTCTCCCTGAGCCGGATGGTGGTGATGGAATTGATCAGTGATTTTTCACGCGAAGGGGGGGGGGGGGGGCCCGGGGGCCCTTCTTCTA